CCCATTCTCCTGGCCGTCCTCTCCTCCGAGCCTGTGCTATCTGTCTCCGCAGATGAAGCGAGCCCTGGTGCTGGGGGCATCGGCCCTGCTTATCCTGGCGCTGAACCAGAACGCCATCCGGGAGGTAGGAGAGTCCCAGCAGTGGGTCCCCAAGCCGGTCTCATGCCCTGCTGACGGCTGTTGCTTTCCTCTCCGGTGCAGCTGGATGTTTCCCAGTTTCTTGCCAAGCCTGTGATCGTGATCCAGTCCTCAGACAACGTCACCAAGCTGCTGGGAGCGCTGCTGCGGTATGGGCTGGGGCAATGGGAGAGGCTGGGCGAGAGCTGCGGCTCTGCACCTGCCTGCCTGCTCCCCTGGGCTGGTTTGGAGCTTGCGCTGTGTGGAGGCCAGCTGGGGCTGGGACACGCGTCTCCAGGGAAGGTGTAGGTCAGATCCACTCCTTCCTAGGGGCCTGAGCCTTTCCATGGGTTCCCACACACTGGCAGAGGCTGACGGCAGCCTTGGCCAAACCCTTTAGGACTCTCAGTGTAAATTAGCCAGACGGGCTGGGTATCAGCTGGTTATCATAACACTAGCATGCCCCCCGCCTTTGCTGGGGTTTAGCCCCGCCACCTACAGCGTTAGGACCCACTCGGTTCTGCTTCTGCCTGGTAAATTAGCATCACTGCAGTGGTGTCGCAGATGGGGAAACTGAGGCACAGTGCTGGGAGGAACAGACCTGTGCAGGGTCGCTTGGAGGGCAGGGCATGGTTGGGAAGGGGGACATTCGCTGTCACCTCCACCTGTGTGTTTCTTTTGCCCTGGTGGCCCCTCTCACCCATGGCTCAGTCCATCCCTGGGGGAAAGGTGGGGGCTCCCCGGCACTGGGGTGCTGTGGGCCGGATCCTGCTGTGCCCGCAGGATTGAGGCTCCTCTGACCTTTTCTCACAGGGGGCTCCAGGCTACGGCGAAGATCACGTACCAGGCGGTGCTGCTGGAGAACCTGGTACGTACATCCTGCTCTTCCTCCTCCTCCTCTTCTCTCTCCTGGTGGGAGGGCAGGGGCAGGGCTGCACCAGCCAAACCCCCCCAACCGACGGGGAAGACAGCAGCCAGCCCCCAAAGGCTGCTGAAGCTGCCGGTGCCTCGGTTTCCCCAGAGCCTCGCTCCATGGGAGCGGGTCATCTGGCAGCTGCCCGCGTTTCCTCCTCCCCTTGACACGTGTGATCTGCCCAGCGCGGTGGGGCCCCCCC